GGTAGCCCAGGCTGGCCTCGAACTCACAAAGATCCGCCTGCCTCTGCCTCCCGAGTGCTGGGATTAAAGGCGTGCGCCACCACCGCCCGGCTCTTCTTGATATATTATTAGGTCATTGTTGCTTTGAGAACAGAAAATCCGGGAGCTAACCCACCCAAACCCCGCCCAGACCTTAAACTCCTGCAGCTCCAGCTTCCGGTCATTGATCTCCTTCTCCAGCTGAGCCTTCTCCACCTGCATAGCGCCCGCAGTTCGCCCATGCTGGCCAACCAGCTGCGTCATGTTCTCAATCTGCTGCCGCAAGATCTCGATGACCTTGTCCTTCTCCGCCATCTGGAGTTTGATCGCCTCACACTCCGTCTGCACATTTCTGAGGTGGTCCCCCTCATTCTTCAGGTGTTGAAGCTCCTGTAACTTCAAGTCCACCCGCGAGCGGAGCTTAGTGATCTCTGCATTGGTGGCCTCGATGGCTCGTTCCTTCTCCTGGAGGGAGGCTGTCAGGTCGGACACCGTCCTCTCAGAGCTCTCAAGGGTCATCTTCTTGGCCGTCAGCTCTTCCACCACCTTGCGCAGCATCTCCTTGGTGGACTCAAGCTGTGCAGTGAGGGAGGACACTTTCTCCAGGCTCTCATTCTTTCCCTGAATGGCTGCCATCTGTGGGAAAAGAAAGTTTCTTAATTGTGGGGGAAGCATGGATCTTGAACTTGGATAGTCCAGATAGCCTAATTGAAATCATTTTGCTGTCAGAACTTAGGGCCTAAAGGACATTTCCCCCCATGGAAGGGGCCACTGGGCAATGGCCCAGCTTGCATGCTCTCACCTGCCGCTCCATCTGGCCCTGACACTCGCTCTTCATGGCCTTGAGCAGGGCCTCCAGCCGCTGCACCTCCATGTTCCTGTCATCCAGCTCCCGCCGCAGGTGGTCGATGGTGATGCTGTTGCCGGTGTCTCGGTCCCATAGGCGTTTGTTCTGCTCCTTCTCCAGACTCAGCTCCTTCTCCCTCTTGTGTAGATCTGCCTAAAAGAAGCGAGGAGCCCTTTCTCTCATCCAGTCACACAATCAAGACAAATTCTTCCGTTTGCCTTACACGGTCTTGGAGTTGTGTGATTTCAGAAGCCTTTGGTTATGGAAAATAAAGGCTTTTTGATAGCTGACTAAAATTGATTATTTCCTAGAAAAATACACTAATATTTTGCTTAAACATCTTGGTTCAGGAGTGGCTTCTCACACCTGTAATCTCTGCACATAGACTTGTGTTTTGAATGTCATTTTGTTCCAAAATGAACATACCACAACCTGAATTTAGTAGACAGCAGTTCTATTTAAAAGACTATGGCTAGTTGAAGACCTACCCTATCCAACATGTAACAGCCACGGCTAAGGAACAAGACACAGACATATAAGACACTTAAAGTACATAGAATGACATTCCATGTGTATGTACAATATTTTGTAAAATCTGTAATTTTATAATGTAAACTGGTTTATTAAATGTACTGAAAATTTTCCCAGATCCCATATCTCGCATTATAGAGCATGATCTCACCAGCAGCTTTTGGAGTTGGTCATCCAGATTTCCGGACTCCTGACTGAACTGGTCCCGCTCTGTGCGCGCCTCGGTGAGCTCTGAATTGGCCAGGACTAACTGCTTCTCCAGCTCTTCTATCTGAAAGAAAAGCTCAAATCAAACAAATGCAGAGCGGGTCGGGGACGCCAGAATACGAAGCCTATGAGAGCAGCCGTGCTGCATTAGAGGCGGAGCTGATGGGTCTTACACGTTTGCGGTTTTCTAACCTTCACATCTCCGTAGGATTTAGCACAGGCATTGGTCAAAATGGAGCTTCTGGACACAGCACACTGTGCTTTGTGTTTTCTCTCCTCAGAAGTTATCTTCTGGGGAGATACATCCTATAATTAAGGGAATCTTCTGGTGGTATAAATAATGTGCTGTGGACCCCAAACAACTGAACTTTGGAATTCTGAGAAGAACTATCTTGCTTGAGAATATCAGTCTCAGCAGGGCACACTGGTGCACATCTTTAATCTCAGCACTCGGGAGGCAGAGGCAGGTGGATTTGTGAGCTCAAGGCCAGCCAGCCTGGTCTACATGGGAGTTCTAGGACAGCCAAGGCTACACAGTGAGACCATGTCTTGAAAAAAGCCAAACAGTATCTAAGTGTGTGTGTGTGTGTGTGTGTGTGTGTGTGTGTATGTATGTATGTGTGTGTGTGTGTATAATCAGAGTCTGAATAAGACAATAAGATACTGAATACAAAAGAATGAATAATGATAGTATTATGGTGGCATATTTCAAAATGAGTGAATAACTATAAAGTTAGAAGAATATAACATTGGACAATTTAAGCATTCAAAGCTTTATTTTCTTCAGATATAAACAGGAATGAGAATCAATTTTAAAGAATATATTTTTCCTTCAGTCAGGACAACTATTTGTTGGAATAGAGAGAAATTTAGTTCACTAAACCAAGGATATCACACAGCGATACCATTTCCTTTCACAAACTCAGCATGCAGCAGGTCTGTAGGAGGACCCAGGCTGTTCCAGTATCACAAATGTTCCTGCGGCCCTCAACACAGGCTGAGTGGGGACCCCAGACCACGGAGACATTGGGCTTTGATTTGAGCTGAGCCACGCACTATCAAGACTTAGATAATGAACCATTTCAGAAGAACATGTTAATAGTTGGTGTTATGCAATGAGACCACCTATAACTATGACTATTTTATCATTCACCTTCTAGGATTCAGAAAGCTTTCATATTGGCAGAAATGCTACACATTTCTTCCTTTTACTAAGGTATATTCAACAGGCTTGAAAATTTGTGTCAAGAATAAAGCTTAGTTTGGATGTGATCAAACCTTCTTAACTGGAAAACATATGACCAAGACAAACTTTTTCTTAATAACTTTTTATTTTTACTTGAAACAGATTCATTTAAAACTCTTCATTTATTAAACTAATATATAATCAATAATCACATTTTATATATATATATATACATATACATATATGTAACTATCCCCTTGACAAATAATAAGCATAAATGTGTAGGGCTTTTATATCTATTTACATGTACACATAAATGCCTTAAGAAAATGCTAATATAAAAAATATCATACAGTTATGCACTTATCTATAATGTAGTATCAGTACATACAGGACTTAAGACATAAATTTAAATATTTACATTGGATATATGTTTAAGTTGGCTTTATGTGATTATGTTTTATATTAAAAAGTATTTCACGAGGATTAAGTATTCATAAATGGTTAAGTACATAAAGTTTTAGATTCTAATTATATTTGATAATGACACAAGGCATTCTCACAAGAATCAAGTACACATGAAATATTATAGATTGTATTTGATTTTAGGTTGCATATTAAAAACTATTTCACAGGAATTAATGGATTACCCACCTGTACTATTATACCTGGCGTAAGAAGTATTTTTGAGCTGGAGATATAGCTCAGTGGAAGAGTGCCTGCTAGGTTTGTTCCCCAGAACTACCACTACCACTAATAATAATAATGATAAGAGAAAAACAAAAATCCTTCATTCTTATGCTCCTTTGGAGGCACATATACAGAGAAAACATAAATTTTATCCTCTGTAATGTAAGTAACTTCTGAGAAGATGAACTGTCAGTTGATAGCATCTTTTCGGTCCTATCATTATTGGGAAAGCCTGAGTCAGCACACTTAGATAAGAACCAGAGCGGTTCCCTATGGTCACCCAGCAGGTCTGCTGGTTGGGCAGGATCAGGGACTGCACTGGGTTCCAGTCAAGGGTCTGTAATATGTGCCCTGCCTTGATTTTGCTAAGGTACAATTTTTTTTTAAATTAATAAATCCAGGTTTAATCTGAGCAAAGCATTCCGGGGTGGTTCCAGGGGAAGAGGAGGAACCACTAAGGTACAATTTTTTTTAAAGAGTATTTCAGATGGTCTCTCATGACCCTTTCAACTCTGTTCTTACTACTTTTTAAAAAATGTTTTTACTTATTCTTTACGTTTTTCATGAATTATAAGAACAGCATCAAAAAAGTCTAGAATCTATATTTTCCACTCTTTGGGGCTATAAATTTAACAGAGCCTTTCAGTTTGAATTTTCATGAGAAGAGCAAATACTTTCTACTCCTAGCTTGGCACAAGCCATTTTCATCCTTGAGCAAAGAACTACTTGTTTATGTTCTTTAAAAATAGGTCTTAGAGCACCTGTGTGGCCTGGGCAGGTGTCTCCATGACGGGTAAGGTGACCTGCTGACGTCCCACACAACCCAAGTCAGAAGCTCATTTTTTAGTAAAAGGGGGACCTGTAGGGTCCTGGGCCCTGTTTTGGGTAACTGTTGCCTTGCTTGCTGACCTTGACCTTGATGTCCTCCCTATGCTAATTCCCTGCTGGGTTCCACCCTCCTGAATGCTTAATGGAAGTTCCTTGTTTGTGTATCATGGATAATGGGCATTAACAGCTTAGATGCAAGATTGTAAAACATCAGTAGCAAACTTCTGCCCTCTGGGGTTCTCCCATTGTGCTGTAAGCCCGTATTCAAGACCTCCTCCCTCCTTCAATAAACAGCGTTTGGCATTAAAAAAAAAAAAAAGACTTCTATCCAGAAGTCCCACAAAATTCAATAGTGGAGTGTGGGGGTCAGCAGAAGATGGAGTGGGGTGAGGAAGGACTAGAGAAGGACACAACGTTACTTTGGCGAGTGACAACAATGTCTACTATATTGGCTAAGATGATGTCTCACAAATGTATCTATGTATCAAAATTTGCCAAGTTATTTGTTTTAAAGATATTCTCATTTTTTATGTCATTCTACCTCAATAAAACTGCTTAAAAGTAAAAAAAATATATATAGGTCTGTTTTAACTGAAAAAAAAAATCAGGGTGGCTCTTTCATAATATCAAACTTGACAATAAAATCTGAGATGGAAACTAGGAGAGAGGCGGGAGGGAAGAGCACATCTTCTGGCTGCCCACTGTCTGAGCCCCTCCAGATCCTTGCAGGAATACCGCCCCCCTTGGGAAGGCCCCCCTCGGAAAGACCCCCTCCCCAGGAAGACCCATGTGGGAAGACCCCGCAGGAACACTCCCTCAGGAACACCCCCCCTTGGGAAGACCTTGCAGGAAGACCCCACGGGAACACCCCCCTCAGAAGACCCCCCCGCGGGAAGACCCCCCCAAGATCCCCTGGGAACACCCCCTCCTCGGGAACATCCCCGCGGGAAGACTAGTTTTGTAGTTGTCAGTACTGACTCAGCTGCTATAGCTCTGCTTTTACCTTTCACTTTTTAGAGTAAAAACATCTGTATGAATTAATCCATAAAAAAGAAATGGACAGTGAAAGGGGAAACCACTGAAGTAGCAGCTGAGCTGGTACCCACAGCTATAAAAGAAATCCCTGCACAGAAGCCTTGGAAACGTCCAGGAGGCACTGATGTCTGACAGACAGTGAAGGTTTTCTCTCTTTACATAGCAGCACTGGTTTTCCCTTTCACCATCCATGAACAGACTTTTGGGTTTGGATCAATACAAACCCGTACAAGGGTTTCGTTCTAATTTCACCGATTTTAGCCAATCACATCGAATCATATTGGATCCGTGCTTTAGTTATTTTTTATGGTGGTGTTTTTTTATTTAATTCTGTACTCAAAATGATACAGATGTGGCCCAAGGAGGGAGCTGTGTGTCAGCATGAAGCTGCACGCAACTCTGGGAAGCCTTTGCACACTCTCCCAGCATAGTGGACAGCTTCGGCCAGTGCTACTAAATCTTCACAGTGGACTAGGGAATCCAGCCCCAGCAACTTTCCAAATAGAATAAACTTAGAATCAAGATCATGATCAATTTTTGTTGTCAAAAGCGAAAGTTAAGAGTAAAGCCAAATCTACAGAGCCAATAGTGACAGCTTCTACCGCTCCCAATTCGTAAGGGGGTTCTGGAGGTTCTCCTAAAACGGGAAGAGAGAATAGAAGACAGCATTATAGTTAACCACACTGGCCAGCTTTGAAACAGCTACAGCTAAGATTTTCTTAGAAATACAATTTCTATTTTCACCAATATGAAATACTTTTTGTTAACCTGAGGAAAAAAATGCCCTCTGTAATGGATTTCCCTGAATTTACACACTCTAGGTAGAAAAGTTTTGTTTAGGCTATCAAAAAAATAATCTTTGTTTTTAAGGCAGGTCTCATGTACTCCAGGCTGGTCTTATTTTTTTTTTAAGATTTATTTATTTATTATGTATACAGAAGAGGTTGCCAGATCTCAATATAGATGGTTATGAGCCATCATGTGGGTGCTGGGAATTGAACTCAGGACCTCTTGAAGAGCAGTCGGTGCTCTTAACCTCTGAGCCATCTCTCCAGCCTTCAGGCTGGTCTTAAACTCACTATTTGCCCAAGGATAACTGACCGCCCTTCCCCTACTCCCCGATTACTGGGATTTCAGGAATGAGCTACCATGTTAGCTATGTGCTGGGGATCCTGGTGCTGGGGGTGGGATCGGGATTTTAAGTATGCTAAGCAGGCACCCCCCAACTAAGCTCCATCCCAATGTTTATCATTTTCATTGATTTCCCCCCTCGAATTTTGAACATTATACATTAAAATCTGCACTGAAACAGTGAAGGAGAAAATAGATTTTTAAAATTTTAGCAATATGAAGTCACAATATATGAAAATGAAACAAAATATGCACAAGAATATGCTTTTTAAACCCTACATCCAAGTTTTTATAACAAAAACATTTCACTATAGCATATTTGTATCCCTCTAAAGCAAATCCTTATTAACTTGCTTAATCTTTGTTGCTCAGTTACACCAAGAAACTTCAGGCTAAGGTGTATTCAACTCTATATTAACATGTGTTCCCTAACTAAGGCAACAGGAGCTGCTTCCTCTTGAGAGCCTAGTTAACCATCCTTAGGTTCACTATGATAGGTTTTATCAGCATTTCAATGATCTGGATCAAGACTGATATGTCCCTTTCCCTTTCTTGAGATAGGGTCTCACAATGCAGCTAAGGCAGGCCTTGAATGTGTGATCCTCTAAATCAGCCTCCCATGTGTGGGCTGTCTTCCTTATGTCTTTTAACTGTTTACTATTTAAGACTGTCAAAGTTCTTGGGAGCCATTATTTACATTAGAGCACATTACAATGGGCTCTAATATGTTAACATGATACATTAGACCAGATTAAAAAAAAAATAAGCAAACTAGATGAAGCTTATGAAGAGATCATTTTTCCAAGCTTGAGATAATGGAGAGCCATAATAATTACAAATTATATACGTAAACACAGGTGAACTGAGCTTGATTTAGTAGTTTGTGACTTTTCAGAATCTGGTATCAATAAATATTTGTCTTCAAAATGGCTTGAATAGTCATGAATAACAGTTATCATTCTGGACTATAATACAATTACACTATTTTGTCTATCAGATTATAATACAATATCCTTCCAGCCATAATGTACTGAAGCCAAGACCACCCTTCTGTTCTCGTTTCTGTAGAGAGGTCACGTCCTTTGTATAGGACTGGTTTGTCTACAAGAGAGCGGACAATCATCACAAGAAGTTTGTCCTGAGAAAAGAAACTGGAACACAAAAGTGAGCCTCTCTGGACTGCTCTGAGGCTAAGAGCTACAAAAGGAGCTCATACAATTTCAGTTCCTCCCTACGGAGCCCTCTCTCCAGCCCTGCCTCCCCCAAAATAGTATTATCTGCTTTGAAGAGGAATTATGTGATGAAAGATGAAGACTTACATTCCTAATTTTTATTTTAATTATTTTGGGCAATCTTACATTTTTGTTTTCTAGACACAAAATGATTAGAAGTTAAAGAGATGAAGCAGGTCCCCAAAACACTGGTGGTAGACATAGACCAGCTGGTACTGAGTATTTGCTAAAGCAAAGCCTTACAAATAAATGACAACACAGTCATATTCTTTTTTTGTTTGTTTGTTTGTTTTGGTTTTTCAAGACAGGTTTCTCTGTGTAGTTTTGGTGCCTGTCCTGGATCTCGCTCTGTAAACCGCCTGGCTCTGCCTCCCGAGTGCTGGGATTAAAGGTGTGTGCCACCAACGCTTGGCCATAGTCATATTCTTTAATTTATTCTTTATCTATCTGTGTGGTAGTAAGGGTTAATCCAGGGGCTCAGGCATGCTAGACAAGTATTCTTCCACTGAGCTACATTCTCTGCTACTCAATTTTTTAGAAATTTACTTGAAAAATATTTCCCAATTTTTATAGTGAATTTGAACATGCAATTTAAGTAAGGTTTATAACTGAACAGATAATTTAGCATGTTTGCATACCAACTTACACTGATTTTAAAAATATTCTCTTTTAATTGGAAATTGTTTTTATTCTTCATTTTCAAACAGACTGTCAAAAATACATTATTGATCAGTGTGTAAAATAGTCCTTGGAGTGAAGTCTAAACTTGCCTTATCTTCATACATCCTCTTGGCTTCCCTCAGCTCAGAACGAAGCTGAGAAACAGTAGACTCCAACTCACTGAGCTGGCGCATGTACATGGAGTTCTGGTTCCTTGCTTGTTCTCTAGGAGGGTTGAAGAGGGTATAAAAGCAAATGTCAAACTAAGAATCAGCATGATACCTCAAGGCCACTCACAGCTCTTAGATATTATCAGTAATTACTTCACATGGTACAATTAGAGCATCTGCCTTTCACATATATACATATACATACATAAATACACACATATACATACACAATCATACATATACATATACATGTATTCATTACACTTCTTTCTACTTTTGCATAGGATTAAAATTGTCTGTACTGGGGATGAGAGCAATGGCTCAGTGGTTGGGTGTTTGCTATGCACCCATGAGGACCACAGTCATGGTCCCAGCTCCTCCATAACAGGCTGGACACTCTGAAAATGCCTAGAACTACAACTCCAAAGATTCTGATGCCCTCTTCTGGTCCCCACATGCACACAGGTGCTTGTTTCTGTACACACAGGTATACATACACTCATACAAACACAATAAACTTTTTTTTTTTCGAGACAGGGTTTCTCTGTGTAGCTTTGCACCTTTCCTGGAGCTCACTTGGTAGCCCAGGCTGGCCTCGAACTCACAGAGATGCGCCTGCCTCTGCCTCCGCACAATAAACTTTTATAAATAAAAAAGTCTACGCATAGTCTTACACATCAGTTCAAATTATAAAATTTCATATGCATATATATTTTATGTATATACTTGAACATATGTATAACTGTATATAACTGTGTTTGTATATACATATATAATTATATATATACACATGTAATTATTTATATACAAATATTCATAATATATGTGTGGTATGTTTTCTTTGTCCTATCATTTGAATGAACAACCCAGTGAATTCCAGGAGCCTGAATACTTGCAATAATACTTGGTACATGGTGACACAAAAATATTACTGTTACCTTTTCTGTTCAAGTATTGGAAAAGTTTTGGAATTACTAAGCAATTTCAAAAAGATATTAGGACAGCATATTAGTCAAAATAATAGGTTTTCAATCATTATTTCACATGCTGAGCTTTGCCAGCATGTGTGCATGTGCACCGTGAGATGCCTTGTGCCACAGTGGTCAGAAGAGGGCGTTGGATCCCCGGGAATTTGCAGAAGGCAAAAGTTCTCATGCATACAGATAAGCACTGGAGAAGGCAGGAAAAGTTAAACACGCAGGCTTGTTAAAGATGTCCGCCTGTTCTCCTGGAATGCCGGGACAGAACGTAGTTTACAACCTGCCGATCCTTTGCTGTCTGATGAGCCAGGCTCCACCTGTATCCCTCAGAATTTATGTTTTACTTACCCCAGACCTTCCCCCCTCCACCCCAAATCTTGAGCACTGCTTCTAGGCCTTAAACCCATCCTTGTGAGAGAGTCCCTTCTGCTTTACAACAGCCTAAGTGACTTCATGTTGTCTTAGGACAGGACAGTCCTGACACCCACCAGTGTTGCCTTTACCTCAGTCAAGCTCCCGAGACCCTAAATCTTGGGAACTCTCTGAGTCAACAGTACCCATTCCTGTGAAAGAAGCCAGATGTACTTTGTAGAGAATCTCAATGCAAACATGTCTTAAACTCTGCTATACTCAAAGGGCTGAGTTAAATGCTGTCAGAAAACTTTTTTTCAAAACTGTGCTGTGCTTAAATGTGGCTAAAATAAACCAACTGGTGTCAGACTCGGGAAGTTTGGCTCAGCACCAGCTACCAAAGTCAGGCTGAGCCAAGTTTCATTCCTCCCTCATCCAGATGGTTTTCCTGCTGGCCATAAAGCCTGCAGGGCCCTCCCTCCAACCCCCAAGCACACAAGAACCAGAATCACAGATCTGGCAGTGAGTCGCCAGATAGGAATCGGGACTCAAACCCAGGTCCTCTGCAAGAGCAACAAGAGCTCTTGACTGCTGAGCCACCTCTCCAGCTTGAAAGAACAGTCGTTAGGTGACATCCATTTCAAAGCACCAGTCCACACATACTGAATGATTTCCATTTGACTCTGGATACTGTTGGCCTGGCTGCGAGCACTACTGGCTTTCTCCGTAAGTCCTGTTATTTCGACTTCATGTTCACTGATCAGTTGCTCAATCCTGCGGAGAGAATGTAATGACTGTTAGGATACAGGACATTCCTACCCATAGCTTATCTCAAAAGCTAATGTTTTTCAGTACCTTCAAGCCTAGTACTTTGTTTCAGTTTTACACATGCTACTCTTTCGTCTGTTTTTTTGAGACAGACTTTAATTGTGTAGTCCTGGCTGGCCTTGAATTGGTAGGCAATCCTCCTGCCTCTGCCCCCTGAGTGCTGGGATGACAGACCTGAGCCGCCATGCCTGGTTTTGTAAACATTACTCCTTCTCCCCCTTTCTGTCTTTTTTTTTTTTTTTTAATTGTTTCTTTTTGAGACAGGATCTCTCTTATTATGTAGCTCTGGTGTCCTGGAACTTGCTATGTAGACTAGGCCACCCTCAAAGTCACAGAGATCCACCTGCCTCTGTCTCCTGAATGCTGGGACTAAAGGCGTGTGCCACCACACCTAGCAAAGCTGCTCTTTTCATAATAACTCTAGAAGCCTTTACGTACAACTAACTAAGCTTTCAGGATTCAGAATCTGAGTTTCAGTGTCAATGAACTATAAGAATCAAGCAAGGCATGGCATTGTGTGCCTTTGGTCCTGCACTTGAGAAGGTGAAGCAGAAAGATCACTGGATTACAGGAATTCAAGGCCAGCCTGGGCAACAGTAAGACCCTGTTCTCAAAGGAAACAAACACCTTTGAGTATTATGAACAATGTATGTTACACGATGTGAGTACCATATATTATATGATATCTCCAGGGAGACTTAGGGAAGGGTCCTATCAACAAAACACATTATGAATACAAGTTTACAAATATTTATACTAAGTCACAGACTATTAAATGCTTCATATTAGCTAATCGGCAGATATGTGACAGATCACTCTTAGGCCAACTGGGGCTGTTCTACCTAGGCCTTGACCTTGACCACTACGGTTGGTCTTTGAGCCAGGCCAAGCACAGCAAGAATGGCCTCATTCTTGCCATCTGATCAGTCCTTGACAGCTGATCAAGTTGCTTATCCTTCTGCTTGAAAATCTATATCCATGGCTACCTTTAGTAGGAATTTTCAACCCTTTTGTGAATAATGTTCCACCCACCAATCCCTCACCTTCTTCCTTGGTTAGAAATCTCCATTTGTCCTTATTGTGTTGGGAGTTGGGCTTATTTTCTCTCCCTAGAGCAAAACTTACAGTGCTATAGTTTTGAATGAAGCCATTCTTACAGCTTCAACAGGTGTCAGAAAAGTTAACCTAAGTTTGCTATGGCTTGATAAGGATATTTGTTGTTGTTGTCTCAGAGTCTGTAGACTTTGGAACTGCAGGGAGAGACTATAACTGGAATAATTTCACTGTGACTTTCTATGCCTCAGCCAGACACCTACCGATCTTGATGTTGTTGAAGTAATAGTTCTATTTTGCTCTGTGATTCAGATTTCAGTGTTTCAAGCTGATCCTCTACCTGGTTTTAAAATAGAGATATTAATTTGGGTGCTGGTAATTCTAAAGCTTAGAAAATGCAGAGTTTCTATGAAAGGAATGCTTTAGAGAGATATAAGTAGAAATAGTACTAAAATCAACTCTATGCCTCTATTTCACAGCACTTGTGCTCTGGCTATATAAGCTGTACAGGCCAAATAACTAGTCTCCTGTCAAGAGAAAGCATTGTGTATCATCTCAGAGAAGAAAAATGAGACCCCAGCTTATTTTTAAGGATTTTACAAGCTATCTCTCAACGTACTGTAATATAAAGTAGTGTTCTCACCACTTACTGGAAATATCCTCCCTTTAAGATAAGAGATTTCTGTGTCTAATTCTCTTAGGATTTTACTAATAGCTGAGCCCAGGCTGCGGAAGTGCATGGTAGACATGCTGTCGTGTTCACATATTTTCTTGCCTGAGGCTTCTTCAAAGTCAACTAAGATTGATCGGATTTCCTGAAGCACACCTTCGTGGCTAAGCATCATTTTTCTTAGCTGCTCGATCTGTGTGCTGCTGTCTTTCAACATGTCCTCCTTGAGGCGCTTGGCAGTCTCAAGCTCATGAACTGTATTTTGAAGCTGATTTCTTAAATCCTCCTGGGACTGACTCTCCCTTCGTCTATGAAACAAATGAAAGAGAAGAAATAACATTGAGAAAACTCATTTTCACTCAATTTTACTACAAAGAGAAAAACAAGATACAGAATTTTGCTATATATCTCAGGCTGGCCTTGCACTCAATTATGTAGCCCAGGCTGGCCTTGAACTCACAGCAGTCTTTCTATCTCAGACACCCAAGTCCCAAGAATACACATATATGCACTCAGCATTAAGACTAAAACCATGGAACGGTTTCTGGGCTGGGGCTGTATCTCTCTGGCAGAACACTTGCCTAAGTGCCCAGACCCTGGCTTCGATCTCTAGCACTGCTGGAGGAGGAGGAGGAGGAAGTCAGGGAACAAATCCCAACCTGATGTCAGCCATGGCATCTCTCTCCATTTGCATTTCTTGAAGTTTCGTTTGCAAATCAATGACTGACTGTCTTAAGTAAAACTTTTGTTTCTCATGTAATTCATTGCTCTGAAAAAAAACAAAAACCACACACACACACACACAAATTAATCTGTATCTATATTAAACCATCAAAACATAGTTCCTATAGAAGACAATAATTTCCCAAGGGTTGTGGGTTATTTATTGTTATGTATACAAAAACCCCCTCACTGCTGAAGTTCAGAGCCCAGTGAATATTTCTCATCTAGATAACTAGAAGACATCAGCAACTTTCCCTGGCTTGGCCTTTTCTTGTCCATTTTCTGAAACAAATATCCCACCCAGCTCAAAGCAAAAAAATGAGTCCCTTAACTCTGGAAACCTGCTTGAAATGATGTACACAAAAAAGTCAAACTGCCTTTGACCCCGTCAATTCTTGGCAACAGCCACTGCCATCTGTAACTCTATTTTTTTTGTTGTTGTTTGTTTTTTGAGACAGGGTTTCTCTGTGTAGCTTTGTGCCTTTTCCTGGAACTCACTTTGTAGACCAGGCTGGCTCCGAACTCACAGAGATCCGCCTGGCTCTGCCTCCCGAGTGCTGGGATTAAAGGTGTGGCCACCACAACCCGGCACCATCTATAACTCTAAAGGAGGGGCTGGAGAGATGCTGTGGTTAAGAGCACTGGCTGCTCTTGCAGAGGTCCAGGGTTTGATTCCCAGCACCCACAGGGCAGCTGACAACCATCTGTAACTTCAGTTCCAGGGAATCTGATGCCCTCTTTGAGCACTGTGTGCACATGGTGCACATACATACATGCAGGCAAAACATTTACATATATAAAATAAAAATAATTTTTTTAATTATTTTAAAATTAATATTTTAAAAATAAGACTCTGAAGGTGCTCAACTACAGAAAAATGCAGAGATTTCCAAAGCCAGGCACTGAAGCATCTCCCAGCTAAGAGCTGATGACCAGTATAGGATGAACGGCTTTTTGACCACCTCATCTTTGAGTCTGAACAGAAAACAAACCACTGAAAAAGAGAAGATTCTAAAGTACAAAAGTAGAGACAAAATTAGGCAAACAGGAAAACCAAAAAAAGATCCAGAGGAAACAAAGATAATGTAGGGATGTCACCCTATCCTTAACCCTAACCCTGTGCTTGCAGAGATTCTAGTACCATATACAAAGGTTACAACCACACGGTTGGTTGGTGGTGGCACATGCCTTTAATCCCAGCACTCTGAGTTCGAGGCCAGCTTGGTCTATAGAGTGATTTTCAGGACAGACAGGTCTACCCAGAGAAACCCTGTCTTGAAAAACCTTTAAAAACAAACAAATAAAATAGAAACAAGAATAGGATGCTAAGGCTGGCCACAGTGGCACACACCTACATCCCCAAAGGTTGGGAAGCTAAGGCAGGGGAAGCCAAGTTTAAGGCCATCCTGGGCTACACTGAGAGAATGGAAGGCTCAAAGATGAGGGAGGAAGGGAAAAGGATGAACAGCTGCCAGTAGTCCTAGAGGCCCTAGGCCAGTGGTTCTCAACCTGTGGGTCATGACCCCCTGGGGCGGGGCATCAAATGACCCTTTCATAGGGGTCACCTAAGACTATTGGTAAACACAGATATTCATATTCATAACAGTGGCAAAATCAGTTATGAAGTAGCAACCAAATGATGTTCTGGTTGGGGTCACCACAGCATGAGGAACTGTGTTAAAGGGTCACAGCATGAGGAAGGTTGAGGGCCGCTGTCCTAGGCTGATGCCTAGCACGATCAGAGGGACAGAGACAGCACTGTGTCAGATGCTGCAAGTCAAGGTGGAAAAGGAACTCAAGTGTCATGTGGCTTCAGCATCACCATTTAACCCACCCACGTGATTATTTCCTGCTGTAAGTATCTCAGTCACAGGACTACAAGGAAGGAACTGTGTCTTTTCCATCTCCATACATCTGGTACCTAGCACATTTCTGTTACATAGGAATACAACAACAGCACTGTTTGATAAATATTAGAAACGTTTCACAAATCTTTACCGGGAACCAACCAAGTGTGACATACTCTACCAGGAGGTAACAGGAATAAATTAGACATAGAAAATAAATGAAGGGGTGCCCACCCTCCCCCCCCTCTCTCTCTTATGTGGGAGGACAGCTCTTGGGAGTCCATTCTCTCCTGACACCTTATAGGATCCAGGGATTGAACTCAAGTTGTCAGGCTTGTGCATTAGCGCCTCTCCCCACTGGGCCATCCTGCCAGCAGAGTTACTGTTTCTTTTCCTCTACTAGTCCGTCCATGCTTCCTCGGTCTCTGCATGTCTTACTGGTGTGTTTATCTATCACAAGGTCTCATCACTACTTATGTGACCAGCTCATCTCCAGAACTGTGAATCCCCTTGAGAGCCTTGGCTTAGTTATCTTTGTATGCCATGTGTATGATGCAATGACACACAATTTTTCACATCTAATGAAATCGTAGGTCCATCTCCTAGAGTCTTCATCTAGTCTGATGAGGCAGAATAACATACTGATGGATACAGTAAGATGTACAAAACATGTACAAACAAGACTTGCACAGAGAACACCCTGAGTGCTGTCTAGAGCGAAGGCTTCAGAGAAGGGAATGCATGAAGAGAGCCGTGACAGGTAACAGGAGTCTCCCAGCAGCCAAGTAGAGAGGCACGGAGATCCAGATTACCACGGTCCACCAGGATGAACAAGTGCCTCAGTACTGCTGGAGCAGAGGGTACTTACAGAAAAAGGTACTGAACAAGCGGGGCATGAAGCTTCTGTACATGGCTGTAAGAAGTCTGGCTTTTAGAAAGTAAACTACTCGAACTCAATACCCAGCTTGATTCTGTGAGATGCACTTGAGGTTTTAGCAAACCCTTCTAAATTCTATGTAACCATTCTGTGTGTACACATATAGAAAATCCCACTTTCCACCACTACAAAAGAAGCCCTGTATCATAATACCAGGGCAGCAGGCTGTAGTGGGTGGCCATTCCAGCTTTGATCTGAAGTTCCAACCCCCATTGAGGCTTCAGTAACTGTCACGCCTACAAGGCGGGGCTGAGAGAGGACCCTGAAGACTCGAGATCCGGATGCGCCGGCTCTCTTGGTTCCTGGACCCTGGACACTGGAGGTAGACCGAGCAGAGTTTTCCAGAGAACACCGCCAGACCGTGCCACACCTTTCCTAGACCCTGTAAACTATCCCTTCACTTGTAAGTTACCCCACAAAATAAACCTCCCTTTTAACTACATGGAGTGGCCTTAATAATTTCACCAACAGCAGGCCTAAACCAATTATTAATTGCATATGAATGTCATTAATAACATTTTGAAACATTCAAATTTTGCTAAAATCATATCCTGAAACCAAGACATTATTACCAGAAAGAAAATGGTATGTAAACTTCTCATTAGGCCAACAGAAAGAAGAGGTCAAATTAACAGGTTTAGCTGAGAGACCCATGGCTAATGTTTTCTTTCGGGGCGGGGGTGGGATGGGGTGGGGTGGGGAGAAGGGGTTAAGTTTTACTTCAGGACAACATGTTTCCTTGGCCTAATGGTGCCAGATGCTAGAAAAGAACACAACTCACTTCGTTTAGTCTTTTCTGCAAGTCTTTAACTTGATGTGAATATTCTTCCAAAACACGTTCGATGTGCTCTTTCCCAGGATAAGGGATGACCTTTCTATGAGAATCAAGTTCCACTTCATATTTAGGGAAATAAGGCATTTGTGTTAAAGTCCCAGTTGAAGATGGATTTTCAACTACTGTACCACGAATAGAAGACACAAAAAACGGGCTTGAAGAACCTAAACAGGAGAGACTTCATTAATTATCCATGAAACAACTTTGCGGCAAACGTTATCGTAGGGTTCCTTTAGCAAACCCTGAAGGAGCACAAGGTCTCACGGGAAAAACAGGCAAGTGAAAATACAGCCAAGAGTACTGAGAAGGACAGCACCAGCCGCAAAGGAGGGACAGGCAGGGAAGAGGGTGATCACGTGACCCTGGACCGGAAAAGCCTTGATGTATGTATGTGTGCGTGGTAGCCAGTCTGGAGAAGACAGGGGACATTCAGGAGTGCAAGCACCGAACACCATACATGGCCAGTGGGCTCAAGACAGATGGGAAGAAAAGCTGCTGCCACATATGAGGAGGAAAATACCGGTCATGGGGGGCCTTGCAGTCCTGCCAAGGAGTTTGGATCTCAGCTAGTAGGGTATAGTTTTGAAACTGGAAAGAGATCCGGCCACAGGAAGTATTTCTTAGTGGCATCAGGACCCTGCTGAGGTAGGAGACTGTGACTATAAGTTGCAGCCTGGTGAGAGATTCATAGCAAAATCTTCCAGCAGCCCAGCCCCCAAATGGAGGTATTAGCTAGACTGATGAGCATTTGTGTGTTCCTGTGAGAACGCAAATGATAAAGGGCACTGGCGAGGGACTGGCTGGACATGCAGACAGAAGGGAGGTAATTTAGGAGTAAATATCAGAGTCTGTAATTGCTGCTGTCAGTCTTTGTACTATACTGGGATCACTTGGGAAACTTTAAAATAATAATACAGCTGTGCCTACACCCGGCTTGGACCTACTGAATCAGAATTTTCAAGTGTGAATCTAAGACATGCAACTGTTTAGAACCGAAAGGCTGGGCTGGGGCGCCTTTGACATGGATCAGCGGCGTTGACATGGACCATGGTTGACAGCCACTACTTCCAGCAGGCAGGAAAACTGGAGCTCCATAGTAATGACATGGGAGGGCCGAGGTAAGAGGCTGGTTAAAGTCCAACACTTGTTACCAGGATGTGTGGACAGGAAGAGGATGGGGCTGGAGGGATGACTCGGCAGTTAAGAGCACTTGCTGCTCTTGCGGAGAACCCAGGTTTGGTTCCCAGGCCCCAGAGATCCAGGGGATCTGCCGCCCTCTTCTGACCTCAGGGCACCAAGCACACATAGGGCACACAAACAAACCTACAAGAAAACACTCACCCGCATAAACTAAAGTCAATCTTAAAATCGAACTAGGTATAATCCCAAACTGTAGAGGACAAGAAGCTGTGTGTGCAGCTAAGATCTCGACTGCCCACCCATGAGGCCAACAGGAAGAAGATGATGCTACACCTAAGGAGGAGACAGTCTGCCAGGCGCTGAGTTTGACAAGAAACACTGGAGGGCAGGAAGGTAGGAGGGGTCAGCAGGAGATGCTGAATCTCAGGTACCTCAGCCCAGAAACAACTTTAGCATCAGAAAGATAATGAAACATGCTAAAACCAGACATGCTCCGTTAAATGCTAGATGAAGTCTAATTCAGAAACAGAGCTGTAAACAGCGTAGTGGACACCCGCAAGCAAGTTCTGCGCCCTGCAGTTAAAAACAAGGCACATTATAAACCAGGAACTGAGTTTATATAAACCATGACGATGGTTTAATTCTCTCTCATTTTGTTTTGGAAAAGGTGCATACCTCCATTGGATGCGATGCCACTTGGTAAAAGATCTTCATTATTTGATTCACAAGCTTTTGGTTCCATATTAACTATTTTCTACCTCTTCTTAGAGATCTTGAAATAAGAGTGCTTCCCTGTTTGGATACTTTAGTTCTTGTCTATGAAAGATAAAGTATTCCATTTTATTACGGTGTTAGGTAAAAAAGCTCATAGTCAACAGGAACTGATTTTTAATGCTTTTGAAATTTTTCCTCCAGAAAGAATAGCTAGGTATACAGAAATATTTTATTGCTATATGCAAGTCAAATTTTATTATAAAATTTGATTTTAAGACCCAAAGGGTTTTTGTTTGTCTTGTCTGGCCAGGGTCATCCAGACAAAACAAGGTATTCTTGGCTGGCTTGGAGGTCTCACTTTACACCAGGCTGGCCTGGAATCACAGAGGCTCAGGCTGCTTTTGCTTCGTTAGTGCTGGGATAAAAGGTGTGCTCCACCATGCCCAGCTTCCAAAGGGTTACTAAAGATAAACTAAGATATAAAGATGAATACTTTATTTTGGTAATGAGTACTCTGATTGGAGGCTGTTATTATTTCAGGTCTCTTATAAAATTACATTGCTAAATAATAGAACTTACCCCCCTTATAAGGATCTCAAACCAGCACATTACATGTCATTAATAAAAGCTGAAAAACTTATTTGATGCTAATATTGCTTATGGTTTTATATTTGGTCAAGAGGGTGCTTCTAAGTTTGGAAAATAATGGTGATGGTCTAATTCCAAATTTCTTCTATTTTTTTTTACTCAAGCATAAACTCAAGATGGAAAACCAACAAAATTTTGTGTATTCCATACTGTCAGTACCCTACCTAAAGACAGAATACCTTCAAATATCTAGAAACAGAGGGCTTCTCCCTCCCGAGGTACTTCCCACATCCCGCTGGGAACTGCTGCTGTGGAGACATGGGGAAGCTGGCAAGACTCAAAGGAGCAGAGGGGAGCAAGACACATCAGTGCAGACCAGTGCATTCCTAGAGTCAAACATCAGAAGCCAGAACACCAGGCCACACTGGACCTTCGCAGTCCCAAGCCCTGAGTGTGGGCTAGCAGCTTCGGAGAAGCAGTGAGGAGAATTACCTTTCAAAAGGGGGGCTTTCCCTGGAGTCAGTGTGCTAAACGGAAGAGAAGATGGGAGAGGAGACATTGAGGGCCCAGTAGGAACAAGAGAGAAGACAGACATCCAACCTCCCCTCTAGGCCTGCCACCCCACCGCCACCATTACCACAGAGAAGCTACATGGGAAGGGGGCACATGCAACCCATGAGCCCTGTTCCAAAACGAACAGAATCAACAAAAGCAGGCATCTTCATACAGAACACATGCAAAATGTCAGATAATATGCACAAAATCTTTTCTACTGGTCAAGTCTCTGCCAAACAAACATGAAGCCAAAGAAAATCATTCCATGATACTCCAAGGTGAACACTGGAATGTCATGTATATAAACATATATAAACATATGCTCAAACAAGTATGTACACCTTTGTAAATGACAAAGTGATTTTAAAACAAACAGTAAAGTCAGAGTACCAAGTAAACAGCAAATATAAGACACCCAGTAACTACAGAGAAACAGTACTGTGACCAGCAGGTGACAGGATTTTAATCAAACAGCAGGCATGATGCTAAGGTTGAGGAGACTGTCCTGTTCACTGGAAGGATTCCAGACTGGCGTGCACACACACACACACCTGTATATAAATACAGCCTGCTGAGTCCATTTGGCATTACTTGTATATGTGTGTGTGTGTGTGTGTGTGTGTGTGTGTGTGTGTGTGTGTGTGTGTGTGTGTGTGTTTAGGGCTGACCACTCAGGATTGGAAAACCTATCTATCAGGGGGTTCATCCTGAAGACGACTTATTGTTCCTCTCTAAGCAGCCATTCGTTGCCTGTAGCTCTTTATGGGGGGGGGGGAGCTTGTGAGATTTCTCTCATCCACACTGGCATGTCAACTGGTGTTATTGAGCAGGTCTTGTTTAGGCAACCCTATTGTTCAGATTTCATGAAAACAGCTTCCCTGTCATATACAAGAGGACACACTCTTGCAGCAGACATCCTGGTCCTCTGGCTAGTCCAATCTCTCCATCCCTCTTCATGGGTTGTAGGGATTGTACTGGAGATGTGTCAAGTGGGGCTGGACACCTCAGTCAGTTGTTTTCTGCAGTTGACTGTTTGTGGCTTTCTGTAAGGGTCTCTGCTACAAAAAGAAGATTTTGATGAGGGATGAGCGCTATGGGTATCTGGGAGTAAGGACAAGCATCAGGAATGCAGTTCAAAACTGTACTGTTTTAGGAAAATGCTACAGTAGACTCTCTACTGGGGTCCAGGACCTCACCAGCCTTGGATAGTTGACTAACTTGCAGTAACAGGCATGCATTTCCTTTTATTGAAGGGAAGTCCAATTAGACAGTGTTGGTTACTCCAAAGATATAAGCGCCACTACTGCACCATTGGGCTATTTTGCCATGCTGGCCATTGTTGTGGTACATCACTTTTTCCTTCGCTCTCTTTAGCAAGAATAAACAGTGATATATCAGTTGAAAAATCAGTCTTAAAAATGGGCTTAAATGCCCGACTACCTCCTCATTATTCATCTCCATCTTCTTTCTTACAGAATTCCTTATTCACTGTCTTAAGATTTATAGAATTCAAGAAAACATAGTGACTCCTCTACTACAACCACTGCTACCTCAACTGCAGTTTGTTCATCCACGCAGGATTCTGTATGATTTAGGAGTATTTTGTATTCGGTGTCTATGGTGACCATAACAAAGACCACAAACACAGCAGCTTGAAACCACAAACATCTTCAGTATCAGTTTCCAAGAGCTTGAAAGCAAGATGGGCAGGCTCCCTTTTCGAACCCATTTCTGGTCTTTGTTGGTCGCCATCATTCCTTGACTTAGGACCACATCACTCTGTCTAGTCTCTGTCTTTGAAGTCTTACCGCTTCCCCACTTCCTTCTGCTTCTCTTACGAGCCTCAAGTCGACATTTAGGGCAAACTGATAATTCCTGATAATCCGTCCCCAAAAGATCTTTGACTGGGGCTGGAGAGATGGCTCTGTAGTTAAGAGCACTTGTTGCTCTTGTAGAGGACCTGGGTTTGGTTCCCAGCACCCACATGATGGTACACAACCATCAGTAACTACAGCTCCAGGGGCTGATGCCATTTTCTGACCTCTGTGAGAATCAGACACTAACATAGTACACATATATACATGCAGGCAAAACACTCATACACAAAATAAATCTAAAAATTAAAAACAAACCATTGACTTAAATCACACATGCAAACTTTTTTTCCCTCATAACATTTCCAGGCTCAGGGATTAGGACCTAATTTTTTAGGTGTCCATTATTTTGCCAGAGTTAATACCATGCACTTTGAAGACGGGTGGTTCAGAAAAAGGTCCTTTTTAATAGATGCTATAGGTTTGTTTTGTTTTTGTTTTTTGAGTCAGGGTCTCTCTACATAGCCCTGGCTGTCCTGGAGCTCTCTGTGTAGACCTCACAGAGATCTACCTGCCTCTGCCTCCTGAGTGCTGGAATTTCTGGGTGTGTGCCATCCCACCCAGCTTTAGAGTCTGGAGTTTTAAAGTGGCTCACCCTAATACAGAAGAACAGAATCATTCACACACACACACACACACACACACACACACACACAAAAAAAAAAAAAAAAAAAAAAAAAAAAAAAAACTAGAACAGCAAGCAAAGACTTTGTATACACATCAAATACATCTTCAACTGCTATTCTCATTTAGAGGGTAAAATAGCACTATGTCATGAAAACTATTTTACACATGGCTAAAATAAATAGGCAACTGTGTTAAAATTAAAAAAAAAAAAACAGGACTGGAAATATGGCTAAGCCTTAAGAGCACTCACTGGCTGCTCTTGCAGTGGATCCAGTGTTCAGTTCCCAGCACCCACATGGCTGCTCGAAACTTCTAACTCCAGTTCCAGGGGATCCCACAATCTCTTCTGGCCTCCACAGGCACCAGACACTCACATGGTGTACTTACACACAGGCAGGCAGAACACTAATACACATAAAATCAAAGTACAGCTTTAAAAAATAATCATTGTGGCGCAGAGGTGAGTTTCAGATCTCGGCCACAGCTCCCCCACTCTCACAGACACACATAAGCAGTCCCGTCTCATTCACCTCTAGGAATATCCAAAGCTCTGGACCTTTTTTTTTTTTTTTTTAATGTGGGAAATAGTAGTTACCAGTCAAAACACCCCGAGGAACAGCCCACATCACTTGTCCTCTACATTCCCATGACCTTAAAGCCAGCATGACATTTAACAGAAACACGGCCTGGGACAGCTGCAGTGGGGACCTGGGACAGCTGCAGTGGGGACCAGTGTTGTGGGAAAGGACAGATGGAGACTTGCTGATGGGGAAAAGCTAGGACCTGAAGTGGATTACCAAGAGAGCTCAAGTCACACAGCGTTTAACACGTGGGATGAAAGACTGGAGACCACTGTCCGAGGCTCCACTCCTGTCCGTCCCCACATTGTCCCATCTCGAGTCCAGTGGTCCCAGGGGGCCAGGCACGAACGGAAGTGAACCGACCCCGGGAAGACCCAGCGTTCCTGCCACGGACGCCGGCGAACTTGAACTCTCCTAAAAGTTACCGGGCCGGTACCACGTGGGAACACAGGGCCATGGCAGGTTCCGGAGGTAACAGGAGGTGATCCAGGCCCTCCGGAGAACAACCCAGCCCTGTCCCCTGGGGCGCATCCCGTCCGCATACCTGCTACCTACACCTCGTCCTAAGAGACCGGCCGCATGTCCGAGGGGGGCGGCGGCCGCACCTGCACGACCCCGGGACCCGCCGGCTCCCACTGCGCCCCGA